TGGAGAGGACATGCCCCTGGATTTTCTCCATGTCATTGGTGAGATATTTTGTGAGATAAGCAAAAGCAGCGGCTGCTTTTGGTAGATAAAGTTTGTAGCTTTCTGGGAACAAACTTTATTTGGCTGCATGATGAGCCAATGATTTGTCTGTGTGCAGGGTAACTATCTGTTAGATGGACACCTTTGGGACCAGTAGCAAGTGTTCATTTGAGATGGGTGTCTGCTTAACAGAGAGTTAAAGAAAAAAAGAGAAGAATGGCTGCAGGGACCTACATTGTATTTCTAGGTTTGTGTCTTGTAGAGGTGTCTACGCAGATGTCCCTTTCGTAAACAGTCACTGCCATTTTCAAGACACTTTTGACATGTTATTGAGAGTGTTTCTACTAAAAATAAAGAAAAGAGCAACCCAGAGTCGAACTCAGACCTTTTGTATCCTAGTCTCTCTCCCTTACCACTACACTACCAAACCGACCCACCAAAATTCCGAAAAGTTCAAGTTCATAAACTAGCAAACTGTCTCTCTTAAATCTAACATCAATAGCAGGTGACCCTTGCCCTTTCCATAACTTTTAACATAAATTCAACTTAGGCTTCAAGGTTGTTTTTTCTAAGATTATTAGATTATTAGATTGCCTTATGGTAACCTAATCCAGGGAATAATAATTATTATAATTATATTACATCTATCAAGACGAAAGGCTTGTTTGCCAGTGGTGGCATCGACCGTTTGAAATGGCAAAAAAAAAATGGGCGGTGTCTATTTTATAGAGAGTAAAAGAAACGGAATGAAAATTGTCTGACATCTGTAAGAATTGAGTTGAGTGCTTTCATGATTTTGGTCCAATAAAATAAAGCAAACATTCAGTGCTCTGACTAATCATGAAAAAGATTTCAGAGTGTGCCTGCAGATTTTGTAAAAGTTTTTTGCTGATCATTTCTTGTCAAGTATGCAGACATTTTCTTCTGGTCAAATGATAAATCATGTTTCACCGTTTTTGTGTAGATTTAGAGATTTAGAACAGTCAACTGAAATAAATAAAATAATAAATAAAATAAAGCCTTTATTTAAAGAGGGTAGCACTTAATAGCCAAAGGCTAATAAACTTGTGGCCCTCATAAAATACACAACTATTTACAATCTAATAAATATAGTAAGCTAAAATATATAAACAATTAAAATAAAATAGGATTCGAATTTTATAAAAATAAAAAATTATTAAATGATAAAATGATGCAAACATTGTCGCTTTAATACTGACACCTGGGGCGGGCACTATGTGTCTGTCTTAGAGAGATTCATCTTATAGAGAGTCAACTAAAAGGAGTAAAGGGTAAAGAAGGCAGGGACTAACTCTAGATGTCCCCTCTAGTGAGGTGTCTGTCTTATAGAGGTGTGTAGAGACAATTACTGTCAATTTTGAGAGGTACACCTGTAACTTTGGGTGTGGCTTTGGGCGTGTTAATAGCTTAATTAAGTTAAAACACAGTCTAATTCAAGACTTTTTGCTGTATCTTTTGTATTATTAGATATAAAGAAATTNCCTAGTCTCTCTCCCTTACCACTACACTACCAAACCGACCCACCAAAATTCCGAAAAGTTCAAGTTCATAAACTAGCAAACTGTCTCTCTTAAATCTAACATCAATAGCAGGTGACCCTTGCCCTTTCCATAACTTTTAACATAAATTCAACTTAGGCTTCAAGGTTGTTTTTTCTAAGATTATTAGATTATTAGATTGCCTTATGGTAACCTAATCCAGGGAATATTAATTATTATAATTATGTTACATCTATCAAGACGAAAGGCTTGTTTACTAATGGTGGCATCGACCGTTTGAAATGGCAAAAAAATGGGCGGTGTCTATTTTATAGAGAGTGAAAGAAACGGAATGAAAATTGTCTGACATCTGTAAGAATTGAGTTGACTGTTTTCATGATTTTGGTCCAATAAAATAAAGCAAACATTCAGTGCTCTGACTAATCATGAAAAAGATTTCAGACTGTGCCTGCAGATTTTGTACAAGTTTTTTCTGATCATTTCTTGTCAAGTATGCAGACATTTTCTTCTGGTCAAATGATAAATCATGTTTCACCGTTTTTGTGCAGATTTAGAGATTTAGAACAGTCAACTGGACTCGCTTTAATACTGACACCTGGGGGGGGGCACTATGTGTCTGTCTTAGAGAGATTCATCTTATAGAGAGTCAACTAAAAGGAGTAAAGGGTAAAGAAGGCAGGGACTAACTCTAGGTGTCCCTTCTAGTGAGGTGTCTGTCTTATAGAGGTGTGTAGAGACAATTACTGTAACTTTGGGTGTGGCTTTGGGCGTGTTAATAGCTTAATTAAGGAAGACACAGTTTAATTCAAGCCTTTTTGCTGTATCGCTTGTATTATTAGATATAAAGAAATTCAAGTGTGACGACTGTGGTCGATTTTTCCGTCGTCTGCATCAGCTGAATGTGCACCAGCGAATTCATTCTGGAGAGAAACCTTATGTCTGCAACAGGTACGGTCATTAACGCCGGAGCACATGTTCGTGAAATCTTTTGCCACATTCTTAAATCAACGGATTCTTCTTTAGAGTAATTGATATAACTTTATCTGTATTTGATATTACTGACATTTTTCTTAATCTGACATAAATAAACGAATTAATTGTCACATCTAGGATTTCATTCACGGACTCAAAAGCATTAGCTGGAACTGCCTTGTATGGTAGATTGAACCATACCATGTGAATCAAACAATCGCTTTACTTTAATTTTCATCCTTTTATAAAACAACGACAAAGTTACTCCAGCAACTTTTGTCTCCCAGAGTAAAGAAATCAGTCTACTCATTCTCTACTATCGATTTCAAATCTTGCTTGCGAGGTTTGATTATATCCATTCAGCTTAATGGGCGTTGTTCTGAGATAAG